ATCATGTTCTTGATGTTTTGTTTGAAAATGGGTTCAATTGACTCACCATTGGGTTTTGATTTTACAAATTGATCTTCAAAACATGTTATATTATGGGTTTAAAGTGTTTTTCTAGAAAATGGGCCTAAGAGGTTGAGTTTTGATCTGTTGAATGTTGAGTTTCATGCTTGGAGACAAATCTGAAAATTTCAGATTTTGGATCCACGCTCGAGCGTACACTCTGAGTTCATACAGTCCACTCGAGCGAGTAAAGTGACGCTCGAGCATGAAATGCGTGTATCCAGTAATTTGCATGTGTTTACAGTCTGCACGAGCGAGGGAATCCACGCTCGAGCGAGGACTTGTGTCTCACGCTCGAGCGGGGGTCGAGCGCCCGTCGAGTGTGAATTTCATGCATCCAGTACTTTTACAGTCCGCTCGAGCGAGGAAAGTCACGCTCGAGCGAAGCTCCTCTGTCTGCATGCCCGCTCAAGCGTAGAAAGCCATGCTCGAGCGAGACCCCTGTTTTCTGAAAATTCTGAAAAGTGTTTTAAAGTGCATCTTTGCATCCTCATTCCATCCGAGGCATTCTTAGGCCTAGTTTAAAGCATCTTAATGAGGATATTGATGTAGAACCACACCGAGGCAAATTAGAGATTAAGTTATTATTTTCCAACTGTGTAGCTTAGTGTATGTTCGTTCTGTAACTGTGTAGGGTTGGCATCCGAGGACGTTCTAGCTGCTTATAGCCCAGTGCTCTGTGAGTAACGGTGTTGTAAGGATATGTTCAATTAAGATTATTTTCTGAACAAATGACTGCACTGCTTTATGAAATGACACTGTTTACTGAATGAATGTTTGTCCTATTTGTGAACTGTATTCGTGGCATCTATAGCAATTTACTGTTACTGCTACTGTTACAGAGATCTCTGTCAGTTCCCGTGTTTGGAACCACTACTGTTTACTGATATGATGGCCATCATTGACTGCTCGGTCTGTTAAGACCTACTATACTGTTTTGCTATTGGATGTACCACATATGACTATTATAGTTTCTGAATGACTGTTATGGCATGAATTATGAGCCACAAACTGAATGACTGATATACTGATAAATGACTGTTTTTAATACTGAAAGGACATTCATTCTTAACCTCTTTACGCATATGTTATTCACTGGGCTTTAGCTTATTGTTTATATATATATGTAGGTGTCCAGGTACCGGATCGGAGCTAGGAGCGTTGGGTTAAGCTCCCTTTTTGTCAAGCCAACCACTGTGCCTCACTGCGAGGTTCCAAGTACTACCAAGTAAGGCTGCTTTGGGGTGTTTTAGTTTCCCCCTTTCTGTCTCTGTTTGTATAGACTGTTTAGACTCGTACTGTACTATTATGGTAGGGATTTGGTCTCTAACCTGAATACCTGTATATGTTGTATGTATGTATATACTGTTTGGTTATGAATGTGTATATGTATGAAAGTCTTTTTGCACACAGACTGTCACAGCTCATTGGACATCCTTTATTACTGTTTTGGCTTCCGCCAGCCCCTATACTCTGTATTACTGTCTTTACTGTTAAGCAGGCCTTCGGTAATCACGGATTACTGGCCGGTTACGGTGCTAAACCCATAGGGGCGGGTTTGGGTCGTGACAATACATCTCAATTCCATTCCATTCCAACCAATGGGCATTTTGGACCTTTTACACCAATTTTATTATAAAGTGGGTGTTTGGGAAGTGGCTTTTTTTTAGGCTTTTTGGCTATTTTAGTAAGCTATTCTGGTTTTTGTGTTTGGAAAGTTGGGTTAAATTTTTGGGTTGATTGTTGTATTGAAAAATGTGTTTGAAATGATGTTTAAAGTTGAAATGACAAATTTACCCCTAACCTTATTTTTTCCAAAATTGATCTATAGGGGTAAACTTGTCATTTAACTGTTTGAAGCCTACACTATGCTGGTGACAGTGTAGGTTGCTGTGTTGCTGGACAACCGATGCTTTTCTGTATATTTTTTTTAAATCAATGGGTTAGGTGGGGCACACTACAAAAAAAGTGGGCTTAAAAGACGGAAACATTTGCGATGGCACACTTGCTGTTTCAAAAAGTGACTTTTTGCGACGGCACAACTTGCTATTGCGAAAAATGTGAGTTTTTGCGACGGCATAACTTGCTGTCTTAAAAAATATGAGTTTTGCGACGGCACAATTTGCTGTCGTGAAAAAATAGAGTATTTGCGACGGCAAATATTGCTGTCACGAAAAAATAGAGTTTTTGCAACAGCACCAGCTGCAGTTGCCAAAAAAAAAAAGGTGAGCTTTTTACAACTACAATAGGCATCGTTGCACAAAAAAAAAAAAAAGGTACAAAAAAAAATATAACAGCTTTGAGACGGCTTCATATATATACAGTCATAGAATGGTTTGAATAAATGCAACGGTATTTTTCTGTCCCAAAAAAAAATTAAAAAAAAAAAACGATGTCGTCTTATTCCTTTGATAAAACATTTCTCTTTTCACCTATTTTTTCATCATTTTGTCTCTCTGTCTCTATTTCTCTATCTCTGTCTTTCTCTCTCTTTCTATCTCTCTCTCTCTCTCTTCTTTTTCTCTCTTTCACTCAACACTTTTCTCTATCTGTCTGTCTTTCTCACTTTCTCTCTCTCTCTCTCTCTCTCTCTCTCTCTCTCTCTTCTCTTTCTCTCTATCACTCATCACTCTTCTCTATCTGTCTGTCTATCTTACTTTCTCTATCTCGTTTTCTCTTCTCTTTTTCTCTCTCACTTATCACTCTGCTCTGTCTGTATGTCTCTCTCTCTCTCTCTGTATGTGTCTCATGCTCATCTCTCTTCTCTCTATCTCTCTTCTCTTTCTATCTCTCTCATTCATCCCTCTTCTCTCTATCTCTTTCACCCATCTCTCTTCTTTCTATCTCTCTATCTGTCTTACTCATCTCTCTTCTCTCTATCTCTCTCGCTCATCTCTCTTCTCTCTCTGTCTCTCTCTTTTCTATGTCTCTCTATCGTTCATCTCTCTTTCCCTCTCTTTTTGTCTATCTCTCGCTCATCTCTTGTTTCTCTCTTTTTTTCTGTCTCTCTCTCTCTCTCTCTTTATCTCTATCTCTTTCTCTCTCTATCTGTGTCTCTGTATCTGTATCTCTTTCACACGCATCACTCTTCTCTCTCTGTCTGCCTCTCTCTCTCTCTCTCTCTCTCTTTCTCTCTCTCTCTCTCTCCCCCCCACTATGCTCGTCTTGCTCACTCTCTCCTTCTATTTTTCTCTATGTGCCAAGCTCCCTCTCGATTTATCAATTCACTACAAGAAAATGCACTTTTAGTGACCATTTTGTCTCTCTCTCTCTCGCTCATGACTCTGTCTCTGTCTCTGTCTCTGTCTCTTTATCTCTCTTCTCTATCTGTCTCTCACTCATCTCACTCTTTCTCGCCACCCATCTCTTCTACAATCTTCACCACTACTGCAAATGCCATTCCACTACAACCACTACTACTATTGTTGCCACTCTACTTCTACGACTACCATTACTACCACTATCGCCACCACTCACCACGACTACTGCCACTATTACTACCATTACCTCTCCTCTACTACCGACACTCCATCTCATATACCACTACCACAACTTCACTAATAATCTCCTTTGCCATCACCACCACCACTACCACCATCACCTCTTATCCACCACCTTCACCACTACTGCCGCTCTCTCTTTACTACCACACAAAATTAGTTCTTGATTTTTAGTAACCAAAAAAAATGAGCCGCGGAAAAATATTTTGATTTAAAATATTACACCTACTTCTATCGAATAAAAAAAATAATTTTTTCCATTAAAATAAAAAATGAAACAAATAAATTTTCAACCTTAGTAACTAAAAAAAAATTGAAAAAAAAAAAAAACTCACAAACATTTTTTTTTTTTTTAAGACGGGAAAGATTTGCCATCGCAGAAAGTAATGAAAATTTTCTATCCCGCTCCTTTAAGCCCATTCGCGCTCGTTTTCCCTAAAATGCCTAAAACCTTTTTGAAGTAAAATCCCCAAAACCCTTGAAGCAAAATTCCACCAGCATCTTACGATCTCTCTGTCGCGACTGTGACAACGGTGAACGGTTAATGCCTAGCAGCGAGCAACGATGGCTAGCAGCAGTCAATATCAATCATGCCTCTCTCACTCACTCAGTGAGTGAGGACGCCTATATGCCCTCTCCTTCTCTCTTTCTCTCTCTCTCTAGATTTCTTCAAATGTCTCTCTGAATCCTAATCTTGAGCTTAAAAATGGCTCTCTCTCTCTCTATCTATCTATCTAGATTTCTTCAAATTTCTCTCTGAATCCCAATCTTGAGCTTAAAAATGGCAAGACAGAACGAATTCACAACTATCGAGCTCATCAAACAATACCTCTTCGACGAGCTCTCTCATATTAGGAGGTCTATCATAGATCTCAACAACACTAGCTCGATTTTCACGTCATTTGATTGTAGAAGTAGTGTCAAAACTGAGATTATGACTTCTCAATCTGATTCTCTCTTTTCACAAACCTCGAATTGTGAATCTTCAAATGTAAAGAAGGAAACAGAGTAACTAGTAAGAAGAACAACTTTGTCGTTTCTAACATGTAAGTTCTATGTTGTTGCAAACATTTTTTTATTTTTTATTTTTAAAATTTTAATTTTAATTTCATGAACTACACTGACTTCATCTGCTACAAATCAATGCTCAAACAACAATTTTAGATATTCTTCTCACAAACACACAATTTTAGATGCTTCTGTAAATTTGGAATTTGAATATGGGTAATGATCATTTCAAGGGGTTGTTAGAAAATTTTAGATATTTTTCTGATTTGTAATTTTCAACTTTTTCTTAGGGCGCAGTTTCAATCTCATTCCTTTACAATTTACCTTTTTTCTTTGTGCACTAGGTACATCTTTTTTTTTTTTCTTCCCCTCTTTATGTTTTTGTGGGTTATTTTGGAGTTCATAACCAAGTATATGTTTAATTTTCACAGAATTTGTGAATTCATTAAACTTCAGCAGATTAGGCCACAGTTTGCCAAAATTCAAGATCGAGGAGTTGTAACTGATAATCAAGTCTAACGCCTAAAAGCATTGAAGACCGAGGAGATTTTAAAAATGCTAAATTTTAGCAAGGCAAGAACTCAGCCACAATCAACAAGGGCTATGTCTTTAGGAGGTAAGATTTCCTTTCATTTTATTAATCTATTAACATTTGAAATTTTCTTCTCTGTTTAGATTATACATGTCATGTTTTTTAACCTCAAGAGTTTGAATCTATTAAATCTATTGCTTAAAAGTTAAAAAGTATAGTTTGTTCTCTTCAAAGTGTAGATGTTTTTGCTGGGTAGGTCAATGAGAATAGTTGTCAGCTAACTACACATTGGCCTCGAGTTCTTTGATATATATACAAACATACATATGCAGAAATTTAATTGTGTTTTTATTACCTTGTGAGAGGGAGATTTATGATCTGGTTTGGGCCGTGATAATGGCTAGACAGATTTGGACCGGACGGATTTGACCGAACAAGGTTGGGCCGCAGTAAAACGGCTCCATCCTTAGAGGTTTTGCTCGGATAAGAGAAGGCGTGGTTGGACCGGGTTGTTTGGCTTCACGATTTAGAAGCCAGTCAAGTGGGATGTCCGGCGCCAGGCGACGCGTGGTTGTTCCACGGTCCAAGAGTTAGCTCGGCAAGAAGGCCGATGGTAAACCAGCGTGAGCTGTCCCGAGCTCGGCAATGCCGGGATGCAACCGAGCTCGGTCGAAATAGAGTGCGGCGAGCGGAGCGCTCTGGCCAATTGCACAACGCGGTCGTTGACAGCCGAGATGCTGCAGCCCGGCTGCCGAGCTCCCAGTAGAGTGGGCTGGCAGTCGGGTTAGGTGATGTTCAGCAAGATTTGTGCTGACAGATGGGATAGCAGTACCACGTGTCAAGAGATCACTGGGAGTAGATTTGGGGCGCAGAAGGTATATAAACATGTCTGCGCCCCTCATGGTTGGCAGATGACACAATTTGGTGAGAAAAACACTAAACACAACTCAGTCCCCTCTCTCTCTCTATCCCTGTGTGTATGTCTAACTTGATCATCGGAGGGGTTTTCCGGCCACACACCGCCGGGTAGCTCACCGCCATTGTGCTCGCAGGTCGATCGGACAGGCAGGAGCTTAGAAGAAAGGAGTGCGGGCTTGCCTGAATATTTGCTCCCCGCACACCTTGGCAATTAGTTTTAAAATAATCTTCTTATTTGATGGGGGTTTGTAGCTCATTTTGACCTTTACTGCTTGTAGGTATAGATTATGTAGACTCGAAGAAGAAGAGCAATTTTGTAAGAAAAATTATTTTGGCTGCTGCCCTTACAACAATATGTATTCTTATGCTCAAACAATCCTCAAGATTTAACAGCCCAAGCCCAGTAACATCTTTATCCCTCTATTTCTATCATTGTATCTTCATTTGCTTCCCTTCTAAAGCTGTTTTTGAATCAAGGATCTTAAGAGATTTGTGAAGGGAAAGGGAAACGGAAGGGAACAGTGAATGAAACAGAAGCTAAATTTTGTTCACTTTTTCCTCCACAAATGCCCACTGAAATTCTTGTTCCCAACATAGCCTAAAGATTTCTCAAGACAAGCTCAGAATACTGTGTCTCTCCAATTTTTGTCTCAATGAATTGAATCAAATTGACCTTTCTTTTCTGTCATTTCATAGTTAATACTTTCTTAAAATTTTCCCTTTCCAATTCTCCTATCACGAAATAGGAGTTACTCATGTCTTAGTAACTAAAGGTGCTGGATATATTGGTTCACATGCTACACTCCGACTTCTCAAGGACTCGTATCGTGTAACTATAGTGGTATATATCTCTCTTTTAAAAATATGTAATTATATTTTTTTCTTAATTGTTTCAACCCTTGAATGCTACATGATTTAGATCTTCAATGAAAAGGATTCTCATGTAACAGGACAATCTATCTCGAGGAAACCTAGGCGTTGTCAAGGTTCTACAAGAACTATTTCCAAAACAATTTAAGCCCTTGGCTATACAAATAAGTACAAAAGATGAAGCTCGTGCTCCAAACTCCTTCTGATCTACTACCTTGGCGGAGGCATATCACCAGTACCTGAAGATGGTTTTTCCTAAATAGGGTGAGCCAAAGCCCAGTAGGAATAATCTAATACAGTATATGGATCTTAACAAAGATATAAGTATGATATGCGTATATAATGCCCATAATAAAATCATTCGTACTTTTACAAGATCATAGTATGCCAAGTTTCATATCTCAATCTTTTTTATCTTAACCTCAGTTTCATAAGTCAAGTCCATTGTTATTCAGACAACCCAACTGAGGTTACAACCCAGTGATTCTCTAATCAATACAATCATTACACTAACACTCCAAATTTGCCATTTTATGAAAATTTCATCCGCGGAAATCGACACCCATGTATATACGTGTTGTTTTCAGGACTTTCACCCTAGACATATAGGCCAACTTAATTCAACGGAGTCCATTCACTTTCTTCTCCCAAACATGGAGTACATCCTCTTTCTCCTCCCAGACTCATATATATGTAATGTATTAAAAACACAATCGTATTCAATGACAACCGATAAGAGATTAGTTTCAATTCACCTAATCCTCATGCAATTTCTACAATAATCATAGCTATCCTCCACCGATAGCCCAAAACAGATATTTCTAAACAGATATACAATCTTCAAAACAGATAAACCATCCAAATTTCCATAGGCGAGAGATAACAAGCATCCATCTCCATCATTTATATGAAAATCTAACTAATTTCACATTCCCATTACCAATTCCATTATTAATACAAAACAATTATTTAAAACATTTTAGAGCAAAACTTCATTTCCTTCCAAATCCAATCTATGTGTCAAAATCAACAAATTTAACGCAACACATCCTCATATCTATACCCACAACCATTTTTTATATCTTCATTTGAAAATTCCTCTTTTTGATTTTAAACCAAAACTCTAGGTTTGCTTAAAAATCCTCCACATTATAACATTATTTACACAATCAACAAATAACTAAGTTAAAAATCATAAGAGAATGTAGAAGGTCCTTACCTCGAAACTAGAAATCAAGGAGGAAGTGGAGAAACCTCAAACGAACTGAAACCCAATTTTGTTCAGATGAAAAGAGAGCCCATGGCGTACTCTACCTTTTTAACAAAGGCCCACGGGTGGAGAAACCACTAGATCTATATGAAAATATGGAGAGAAGGTAGGGTTTAGAGAAAGAAAGAGTCTCAACACTACAAGAAAAGTGGGCTTAAAAAATGAAAACATTTGCAACGACACATTTACCGTCTCAAAAAGTGATTTTTTGCGACGACACAACTTGCTGTAGTGAAAAAGGTGAGTTTTTGCGACGGCACAACTTGCTGTCACGAAAAATGTGAGTTTTTGCGATGGCACAATTTGCTGTCACGGAAAAATATAGTATTTGCGACGGCAGAAAATGCTGTGGCGAAAAATGAGAGTATTTGCGATGGCAGAAATTGCTATTGCAAAAAAAGGAGAGTATTTGCGACGGCAGAGATTGCTGTTGCAAAAAAATAGAATTTTTGCGACGGCACCAGCTGCAGTCGCAAAAAAATGAAAAGAAAAAAAAAAGAGTTTTTTACGACTATCATAGGTACCATTGCAAAAAATAAAAATAAAAAACAAATATTGTGGCTTTGAGATAGCTCCATATATATACAGTCACAAACTGCTTTGAATAAATGCAACGATATTTTTCTATCGTAAAAAAAAAACAATAAAAAAACGACGTCATCTTACTCTTTTGATATAACATTTCTCTTTTCGCCCATTTTTTCATCTTCATGTCTCTCTGTCTTTGTTTCTCTTCTCTTTCTCTCTCTCACTCATCACTCTTCTCTATCTCTCTGTCTGTCTGTTTGTCTATCTGTCGTCTGTCTCTCTCTCTTCTCTCTGTGTCTCTCGTTCATCTCTCTTATCTCCATCTATCTCTCTTTCTATCTCGCTCATCTCTCTTATCTCCATCTATCTCTCTTTCTCTCTCTCATCTCTCTATCTCTCTCATCTCTTTTCTCTTTCTATCTTTCTTCTCTCTATCACTCTTTCTGTCTCTCTCGCTCATCTCTCTTATCTCCCTGTCTCTCTCTTTTTTTTTCTATGTCTCTCTCTTGTTCATCTCTTTTCGTTCTCTCTCTCTCTCTCTTTTTCTTTCTTGCGCTCATATATTGTTTCTCTCTCTTTTTTTGTCTCTTTCTCTCTCTTTATCTCTTTCTCTGCCTGTCTCTCTCCCTCTCACTCATCACTTTTCTCTCTCTGTCTTCCTGTTGTTTTGTCTGTCTGTCTGTCTCACTTTCTCTCTCTATCTTCCCCCACTGTGTTCGCCTTACTGTGGACACCCCATTTTTGACCGTCCTCAAGACTTGGATGTGTTTGCAGGTACATCCAGTAACAAGATTGATTGCTCATCGAGTGTTTGACTTTCGCGATAGAATGCTCCAAGTTTGATCCTTCCAAACCCTATTTCCATTTTGTCTCATTTTTTATCCATGTGTTGGCCTTTTCTTTGTGGTATTCTAGGTGGTCTGCCGGCCATCAGAGAGGACTGTCGGCCATCAATTTGTGCCTGCTGGCCATTGATGAGGCTTGCCGGCCATTAATGAGACACTGCCGGCCACCACTAATGGCCGTCAGGCCACCTTGTTTCAACAGATGTATTTTAGATATTTTTAAGCCAGCTGTTGCACACTGGGTGCATCCTCCATACACATGTATGAATGGATTCAGATAAGCTTCTAGCTTATCAAGGAAGCTTTGGCTTGCTTGTTCTATATAAGGAGAGGCTTTTCTCCCTCTCCAGGAGTTCAGAAAATTTGAGAGCTAAAAATCTCTATCTCTCTCTCTCTCTCTAGAGTTCTCACTATCTCTATATATTGTGCTCAATAGTGCCTAAAGTGTGTGTTTCTTCATACTTTTGCACACAAACACCTACTCAAACACCTTCCTCTTGTTGATGAGGTACTTGGAAGCTTTATTTGAGTGGTTTTAAGCTGGTTTTTGCCTCAAAGTTTGCTGTTTTGTAGTGGTTCTTCAAGGGTAAGCATATACTCCTTTTAAAGCTTTGTTTTGAATAAGTATTTGGTCATCCTTGCATGCTCTTTTAGGCCTTACTCTCAACTACAAAAACTCTTGTTTCTAAGTGCTTAAAATGGTTGATTGTAGCCTCTTTGGTGTTGAGGGTGGTCTACCCTCTTGTGTGCCTTATTTGCTTGGGCTTAATGCCATCTTTTAAAGCTTTTGAGGCACCCTTTGTTTGGCGTTTCTACCACTAAAACTCAGAGGAATTTCAGTGGTAGAAACCATGTTTTGAGGTCCAAAGTAGGTGGGGAGTGGCCTCCCCCCTTGTTTCTTGGTTGCATGCTTTGTTGACCTAATTATTGAGCATGTTTTTCTAGCATGTGTTGGCTTGTTCTCAGCTTATTTTGGGTCTTATTTCAGCATGGCATAACTCTGTTTTGGCTTAGTTGAGTCACCTTATGCATGCTTTTTACACTTGTAGTGTAATCTTGCCATTTAGCCTTACATGCTTGCCAATTCGGCTCATCATTCTAGTCTATTTTGGCTACACTCCATCATGCTTCTAGCATTGTTTTAACATGCTTTAGGACTATTTTGGGTGATCTTGTGGCTTTGGTACAAGTGCCTTAGCTGGTCTTGAGTTTTGAACACCTTAGCATGCTATATTTGTGATGGTTGCATGTTTTGGCATCATTAAGCATGTAATTTCAAAGCATATACGTGTGTCATGTTCTCACTTCTTTCACTCCTTGAGAGCTTTTGAGCGTTGTGCATTTGTGCCTTATTTGTGAGCTACCAAAGGAGCATGATTTTCTACTCTTTTGAGCCTTAGTTTGAGCATGTTTTTGCCACTGATTTAACATGATATAACTCTGTTTTTGGCTAGTTTGGTTATCTCTTGCATGCTTCTTACACTTGTAGTGCAATTTTTTTCACTAACCTAGCATGTTTGGTGTTTTAGCCTATTAATCTAGCATGTGTATGCTCTACCCCAGCACTTTTTTGGCTATGTTTTAGTATGCTTTCGGTCTGATTTGAGTGGTTTTGGTCATGCGTGCTTGGCTTTGCATAGCTTTAGTGCATTTGGCTTTGCTAGTCTTGCACTTTGAGACCTCTAGCATGTCATATTTGAGCTTTTTGAATGGCATGGCATAGAATCATTTGGCATGTTATTTCAGACCATATACCTCTGCCATATTCTTGCATTTATCGCCCTTTCATTGTGTTTAAGGGCTGAGCCTTATGCTTCACTTGTAAGCCAATATGCATGCATGCTTCTCTAAGCTTTTTGGGCTTCCATCTCCGCATGTTTTGGTCTTTTTTTTGGCCTAATTGAACTCTGTCCAGAGCTGGTTTAGTCATTTATGCCATGTATTGCATGCCTCTTGTGTGATGCTCTTTGCTTACTTTAGTGCTCTTGGCTTCATAACATGTCTTGCATGCTTGGCTTGCATGGTTTAGTGTCTTTAACATGCTAAAATAAACATGTGTTGTGTTGGATTGCATCGTGTTCAACCGGACATTCTGTTGAACACAAGGTGGATTGGCCCACTTCATACTCAAAGTGATGAAAGTGGGCCAATCTCCTTTGTCTCCATTGTCTTTGATCACTCATGATAAGGCCGTAGTCTTAGTGTTTTGCTTGTTTTGTTTGTTGTGCATTCATCGAATTTGTGCAAGTTGGATCTTTGGTCATCATGCATTGCGATGCTTGGTTGGTGGTCTTGGATCCAATGGTGCCTCTCCCTTGATGTTTTAAG